GAATGCCGGGTTTTGGAAGTCAGCAACGGTGGATTTGGTTACATGTCTTGTTTGCAGTCTTTGCCTTTTATCTGTGTCTACAGAAAAGGTACAGCAGTGGTTATGGATTTATTCATTTCTTCCACGGCATTCCCCCTGGGAGGTCTGAGCTGGGGTGGTGGGCAGTGATGGGGCGGCACGCAAAACCTGCCGCAGCTGTGGCTTTGCTTCAGTCACATACACTCTGAGAGGTTATTCTGCTGTTCTCCAGCTGAGCAGTGGCTGTACACGCTGTGTGGCTTCTGGAGGCGATGCTGTAGGGTGCCTCCCAGTCCAGGCATCTCTGGACTCGTTGGCCAGGGGCACATGGGCAGGAGTCAGCGTTAGACTGTCTCTGCAGATGAGATCTTGGACAAGAAATAAAATACAGCTGTGGAGCCTCCTTGTCCTGACTCCTACAGACTTACCCACCCTCTGAGGACTGTCCCCCAGGTTTTGAACACCCCGTGTGTTAACCGCACCGCTGGACACTGCAGCAATGGTTACGCTTCTGTTTTATTCTCAGATGCCTACTGGCAACTGAAAACAGCTCAGCTGGAGTCCAGCCATTTGCTTGCCGGCCGTGTGAATGCGCTCGCAGAGAGGACCGTGGTGAGTCCCCAGCTGTGGCAGCTGGCGGTGGGAGCAGGGAGGAGCTGGTGGTGGGGCTTGCTGGCACATTCTGGTGTTTGAGGTCACTTTGCAGCAGTTATGCCCGTGGCCTTTTCTGAGCTGCTGCTGGAGAGTGTGACCAACACAGTGTGATCAACAAGGAAAGTGTTGCTTCAGGTTGACTCCTCTCACCAAGGTTGGGAAGCTGGAGAAGAGAGTTCAGAATGTCAGGACAGATGATGGTTGGTGTCCTCACCAGTGAGGGAGGCAGGGCATTGCCAGGGCAATGATCAGACAGAGTCAGGGCTCTCCACCGACCTCAAACATCTTTTCCATGGCAGATTCCTGGGAACGTCTTCACAAGCAATGTCCAAGCCTTGAACCTCTCTGTTGCTCTTGGTGCTCTTGATGTCTTGGCAACTGTTCTGAAGGAAAGAGAGACACCTGCGCTGGAGTCGTCTGACCTCCTTGCGGTGCTCCAACTGCTAAAGCAAGTTTCTGATGTGGAAGCCCAGGAGGGAGAGGAGCTGGAGATGCTGGAGCAGTTGGGCCAGTATTATGTGGAGGTGACAGAGTTAATCTTGGAAGAGCAGAACATTGAAACGTGGTCATCGGTCAGCCAGGTAACGGTGCCACCAGCAGGCTGGCCGCTGCGTGCCGCGTCCGTTCATCGTGTGCATGTGCAGCTCCTCGGCCAGCTGTGAGACCACAGGACCTGTCCTTGCGTGGTCACACACAGCCTTTCTGCCCGTGTTCTGGAGCTTGTGACAATGCTGCAAGAGTGGCCATGGAGCCTCCTTGCCAGCCCGGATAATGGCCGGCTGCCTCGCTGTTGCCTCGTTTGCTGGTGGTACAAGCAAACAAGTGCAGCCAAGGGGTGACCTCCTTGCACACCCCTCCAGGGGCTGTCTGCAAGCTTCCCTGCTTTGTCAGCGTGGATTTATAGTGTTGCACACAGTTTGCCAATTCCCAGTGCTTTGTGGATTCCCGCTGTCTCTGGCAGAGCAGTGCCCTTCACTTTGCAGTTTGTTGTGTTTTCCGTGGGTGGGCTGCCAAGGAGCTGCCATCAGCCCCCACGCTGGTCCAAACACCGTCAGGCTTTGTGCAAGGGACTTCCATCATCCCACCCCCGGTGGGATTTTCTCCATCAGCTTCTTCCCTTCTCACGTGGGTCTTTTGTACCCATTGTATGTTCTGCACCCTCCACCTGCCTCTGGGAAATGGGTGACAGCTCCAGGAACCGAGCCAGGGACCTCCAGGGACGGGAGGATGCTGAATAGCTGAGAGTTGACCTCATCGCTTGGAGCTGCTGAGGTCTCCGTGGCCACCATTACTCACAGCTTCCCGGTAGTGGCATAAAACCAGCCCTGGCCCAGTGTGGCTGGTGCAGCATCAATCTCTGCTGCAGGAGAAAGGGGCTGGGTTTGTATGCTCTGAGGGTGGCACTTGTGCTGCCCACACATGCAGGACCCTGAGCAATGGGTCCAGTCACCTGCTGCCCACCCAGCAGCAGAGTCTCTTTCTGGGTGAAACCTTTTCCAGGAGGAGAGGATGGTGGTTGTACAACTTTGCAAAAATCAGGAGTGAGGTCTAAAAATTTACCTTCTTTCCAGAAGCTTATTTATCTCTTTATTTCCCTGCTGGTTTAATGGCTTTTGATAAAAACCAGCAAGTTGCCCTCACTGCCAGTCTCGTCTCCTTGCTGAAGGAACCAGGAACATCCTTTAGTGAAGAAATCAAAGCAAAGGAAAAGTCTTGAGTCCCAACTTCTCTTTCCTGACAAGGACCAAGCACTTAAGAAATCTCCGGTGAGCTGCAGGAGGTGTGCGCTGGCAGTGCAGCACCGATTTCCATCGCTCTCTCTGTGCTTGCAGGTTATCAGAGGGCCCATGGCTGTCGTTGAGCTCTGTGACAGAATGGTGTCACACTTGGCCCCGCTGCTGACTGCAGGGAGGACAAGGATCACAATCCAGCACCAGAATGTGGGTGAGTGGCACTGGCAGACCTGGGGGAGGGCATCTCACTGGGACCCAGTATAGTCATCCTGTCTGGTTCCCAGTCAAGGTGTCAAGGTCCTCGTGGCACTGTGCTGCAGCAGTAGCTCTGGAGAAAGGCTGAGCCCTGGTTCGTGCCTGGCTTTACCCCTCGCAGGGATGGAGGTCAGGAGGCTGGAGCTGAGCAGGCAGGAGCCGAGCAGCCAGGTGTACGTGGTCCAGAGCCCTGAGAAAGGCAGGCACGACCTCATCGAAGTTCCCGCAGAAGAAATGCAAAGACTGAAAGCCAGAGGTGGGTTAGGAGGCTTCCCTGTGTCTCCTCTTGGCACCTCTTCAGCATCTTCCTTAGCGGCACGAACTCTTTACCCTGCACACGTGCAGCCTGGGGAAGTCCTCGTCCCCATGCCGCAATGCTCTGTCCCTCCAGGTCTGCGCAGAGTCGTGCTGAAAAACATGTGGTTCGGCTACAGCTCCCTGCAGCGCAGCCTGTCGGGTGCCAGCAGCAGC